TTTTTTGATAAAAACTCTTAAAAATTATTTTTTATTTATAAAATACTGTTTATTGATACATATTACTTAAAATTCAAAATTATAAATAAACTTTACACAAGTACAACTTATTAAATCTCTATTTTTAAAATCGTGTAACTAAATGCAGATAAACATAATCAAATGTAAGATAAACATTTCATTATCAAATGTAAGATAAACATTTCATTATTAAGATAAAAATAATTAAAATAATTATTGAGTTTTAATTGAATACTTAATTATTATATATACTATATTATAAAGTATTTGACAAAAACTCTTAAAAACTATTTTTTATGCGTAAAGTACTGTATATTGATTCATATTACTTAAAATTCAAGATTACAAGTAAATTATGCATAAGTACAACTTATTAAAGCTTCATRTTTGAATTCGTGTAACTAACTGCGGATAAACATAATCAAATAGAGGATAAACATCTCATTTTAAAATATAAAAAATCTAAAATATAATTAGAATAATTATCGAGTTCTAACAAAATAATTAATTATTATCTTTATAAAAAAATTATATTATTAAACCAAGTATAAATTACTTCGTTATTGAACCTAAATTAAATTATAATTAAAAAAATTGAATTAAAAAGTTACACAAAAAATGAGGAATTGTAAATAGTTAATTTGATACTAATATCAATATATTTTTGTCAAATTTTTATGATATCTTCAAATTTATATTTTATTCAAAAATAAAAACATCATCGATTTTTTAAAATCATGTAAGACCATATTATAACATCGACTAAGATATAAAATAAAATGAAATATTAAAATCAAGATGTATCTTGTTGCATTGTGCGAGTACCCTTCTAGTCTTATAAAAAGTTATATTATGAAAGCACAAATTACTTTGTTATTAAAACTAAATTAAATTACAATAAAGAAATTGAAAAACGATAACTTTTAAATAGTAATTTAGTACTAATATCGATGTTCGTCATTATTATAATAAAATAAATTACGTTTTTGTTTAAAAATTTAAAACTATTATAATAAAATTTTGAATTAAACAAGTTATATCATAAAAACAAAAGAATCATTTGCGGCTACGGAGGTTCAAATGCGATAACTCCGGGTTACCTGTAAAGCAGATGGTCGTCTTAGGATTAATCGGCTCGTGTAGCGGGTGGAATATCAAGGTTAATAAAAAAACAACAAAAATCATACATACACGATATATGTTACCAGGCAAACATAAATCAGGATTTAACGTCACAATTAGAAGTATAATTTAGAAAAAATGATTGGGCGAAAGTTTATTATGTGTTATAATTTTGTTTAACAAATGTCACGTAAATATGTATTATCGATTGTATTACAGTTTTTGTAAATTGACAGAGATAAATTAATCACGTCCCAAAATCCAAGGGTTTTAATAAATTAAGCGTTAAAGTTCAAAATTCAAAGGGGATCATTTTGAAAAGCACAACACTACAAGTAAAAGAAATTGGTGGAGAACACAAGTCACAAAAAGCACAGTAAACGAAGTCCAAAAATGTTATAATTTCTTAGACTTGTATTATATATATATAGGTGGAGGTTCAAACGAGAACCCCTGTGATTTACGAAAATGCGAAAACAATCTAATAACCTTAAACTTTTTTAATTAATAAATTAACTTATATTAAATATAAATAAATTAATAAGGGCAGTAATGTAATTAATTAATTTTATAAATTTCATTTTATTTTAATTAGTCATAATTATCCTTTTTTTTTCCTTCACGTTCTTTTCCACTCTCTCCTCTCCCCTTGTGATAATTGTGTGATTGTATAACCATAACCTAACGAAACCATAATCAATGAAGTGTAACCATAACCTATCGAAACCATGAGTAATCGTTGTGATAAATATGTGATTGTCTAACCCTAACCGATCGAAACTATGATCAAATTTAGTGCGCAAGTGATGTTATAATAGTGATATCACATGATTATCACACCCATATCACACCAAATCGGTAGTC